TTGCTTGAATGGTGGGAGATGAGGGCTAAGATAGGGATTAAGGAGTTTTTAGGGTATGTGACAGGAAACAGGCATGGTGGAGGTATGGGTTACAGAACTACCTAGAGGGGCAATTGCATGATTGTTACGGGGGAAGGGGGCAGGGAATGTATGAGAGGGGATATGGATGGTATAAGGAGTCGGATTGCGGAGATACATAATGAAAGGTTTAATGCAATTAGAGTTAGAGCAGGATTGGACGATGTATTAAAGGGAGACAGACCATCAGGGTATGTCCTGAAGAATTTTTTTTTTCTTTTTTTTATATTTTATTTAAAACATCATAAATACAAGGCTGCTTAAAAATTAAATAGCATCACCATACATATTCTATAGAGTACACCAAGATTCACACCATAAATACCAGAAAAAAATCTATACGACAAACACACCATAAAACGCATACATACGTTTCACTAAACACACACAATACCAAAAGATATAACTGTTTGTGCAACAAACATAACACTGGTGGAAACCCCACTAAACCCATTATAAGTTACATGCACATCATACAAACATGTTACATTGATGTTTAAACAATAGTTTATGTAATTTGCATAGAAAATATACAATTGTTTATAGAAATTTCAACTTAGACACAAATTCAATGATTTATTCTAACACAAATTCATTAACATAATAAATATTATATAAATTGACGATCATTTTAATCGCCCAGCAATTTCCATTCATTCCATAAGTGTTCAATCTTGATACCTATGAACTACGTTTGAATCACAAACAAAAATCATAATGTTGCTACATATTTATAGGATACAATTGGACGACTCAGGGTAATGTACACGTGTTATATCCCTTTAATACTTTGGTGACTCACAGACTAGATTAAAACAGTAACAGGGAAGGGATAAAACATGCATATAAAATATACATAATATAAAATTATATATATAAAAATATATAAATATATATATATATAAAATATATATAATATATATATATATATATATATATATAAAATAAAATATATATGCAGGTTTTAAACCCCAAATATCGGGACCTATAAAACATAATCAAAAACAAAATACTAAGAAAACTTGTGACTCAAGAAAAAACGAGTCTTTACACTAAAGGAAAGCTTCAAAAACATAACAAATACTGTAAAGGCACCACTGTCATTTTGTACACAAAAGTTATAGTAGGTAACACTAACTCCAGAATCAACAAACACATCCATAACAACTAGAATACATCCATGGCCAATCTCATTCACACAACTCACACCTCCCCCCCAAGAGACGAGCCAGCTATTGCCCCCTGACCTACAGGGAAACTTACCCGGCATGTCCGTATATTATTCACAAATTCACAGGGCTTTCAATAGTTAGCCTTTTATAACCGTCCAAAAAACCCTTATCCCACCTCCTCCCATACAATTCCCTATTCCTACACATTGCACGATAAAACGTTATTGCAAGGACACGCCTTCTCACCTCACTGACCCCTTTCCCCCTCATTACCCACGAAATATAAATGTAATCCACGATAATATAATCTAAAGCTCGTCTAACTTCCTGGTCTAATCCACCGATGTCGAGACTTAACGCGCACAGGACCTGCACCCCTCTGCCTCCCACCCTCTGTACCACCCTACCTAACCAACTCCTGACATCTTCTAAACCTTCGCAAAAATAGACAACATGAAAAGCCGTGTCTTCTCCTCCACAAAACCCACACCCGCCACCTTCCCGACTCTTTCTGGATCGTGGGTATTGCCCCTGACGGCAATATACCATGTAAAAAATGGAACATGACTTCACACACCCTAGGCCGTAATTTCAGCTTACTAAATCTGAGCCAAATATTTTCCCACGTACCCCCCAGTAACCTACTTAAAACCCTTATGCGAATGTTTTTCCGTTCCTTTACCATCAACAAAGCTCGTATACAATCTCACTTTCCCCTCAATTCCATTCCCCCATACCACTTTTTCAACCTCATATATACCTGTTCCATATTTCCCGCCATCACACCCACACGCCAAACCTCCCACTTTAGAAAAACACATTTTACCCTACGCTTTAAGTCCAACAATCCCAAACCTCCTCGACGGACAGGTAACATAACAACCTCACGTTTTTAACCAATCACACCTCGATCCCCACAGACAGGAAAAATACTCTTCTCAATATTCCATTGATCGCTGTTCCTGTAATCGGAATATAGCCGCAATGTCCCCACACCTTACTATACAATAAAAACGTTAACAACGATCAAAACGTTGGGCCAGAGTGAGATTTTGGGGGCCTCAAAACACCCCGACGACCAATGACCTTTTTCCCAACGTCCTTTACTGAATTTTCCTCCCGCGCCACATCCAAATCGTCTCTATAAATAATACCGCAAATCTTTAGTGACATCGCAGTTGTGTTAACCACGTTACAGCTCACCATTCCTCCCCCTTTCCAGGTACCCAACCCCATGATCATCGACTTTTCACTATTTACCTTCATACCCGTGGCTCGTTCAAACACACACACAACATCTTCCAACACTTTCATAGACATCCGTTCACACACGAAAACAGTCGTATCATCCACATAACCTATTAATGCCGGCCAACATCTCGCTTCCCCTACCCCCCCCCCCTCACCCCGGGGAATTGACTGTGCTCTCAACCATCCTTAAAAAGGGGATCCTGAAAACACGCAAATAAGATCTGTGACATAGGCACCCTTGTCGTAAACCTCTACCAATCTCAAAATCCCCTCCCATACACCCATACATTTTTACTCTCATCTTTGCTCCCTTTTACAGCGTTTTTACCCACCCAACTATTTCTTCACCGTAACCCTGTCTCCTAAGTATACTCCTGCAGTGCAACCTCTTTCCACTCTAACATAGGCGGCTCGCCAGTCTAAGGCCAATAAAGCCGCCCCCCTCCCCTTCCCCTTTGACTCCACAAAACTTCTTAAAAAACCCGTGACCTTCTAACATCGACCTGCCCGGCAACCCAAACTGCGATGGTGAAACGACCCTCCCCACCACGCATTTCACCCTATTACCCAAAATTTTTGCGAAAACCTTATAGTCTGCACAGAGCAACGATATTGCCCTATACTTCCCAAGGTCTGGCCCGCCCTTTGCTTTCGGGACCAGCACCACAATTGCTGTATTCGCTTATTTTCCCCAACGTACCCTTCTCCTTCATACAATTTAATAATCTTACCATGAACTTCCCAATCAACGCCCAATGCTGTAAATAAAATTCCACCGGTAAACCATCAATACCCGGGGCTTTGCCCTTTCTCATTCCATGTAAAGCAATTTCAATTTTCCCTCCTCATAATATCCCCACCCATAGCCTTCCTATCACTATGACCCAAATTGCAACTTGGGATATGTGCACACCCTATTTAATTCCACTTTATCCACATCACTACTAGTCCAGTATTTTTTGTACCACATATCCGCATATGCACTCACAGCTTTCGTGTTTCTTATCACTTGACCTGCTCTATGGATTCCCATCGTCTCATGTACCTCCAAGCTCGGGATTGCCGTCAGCGCCTGCTTTTGCTTTTGCTGCCGCAAACACCCCACGCGGGTGGCTTGTCTCCCCACAAAACTTCTTCTAATCCTGCTTGCACCCGCACCACTTGAAACCGCTCATTATGCAACGTTCGCAAGCTCTCTTTTATGTCTACAATCTCGTCCATGGGGTAAACACCACCAACCTTTCCCTGCCCATAACAACCTCTTAATCGATCCTCTAAATAATTCACTAGTCCATATTTTAGTGTTTATACGTTTACCCTCCCTCACGTAAAAGGATTTTATCCTTTCTTTTGCTACCGAGTCCCACCACGTTACAATGTCCTCTACCTCCTGAGCTTCCCTTGAAAGCTCTTTCCACAGCATAGAAAAACCCTCTAAACCTTCCACATCACCTAACACACTAATATTTAATTTTCAATAAGGCCGATAAATTTCCGCCATCCCCTCCCACCCTACCTCCACTACTACTGCCCTATGATCTGACAAGACCGTCTCGACAGTATTAAAAGACTTTGCAACTACTCCTTGAGAAATATACACTCTGTCCAACCTTGCAGCATATCCCCTTCTGATAAAAGTATGTTCCGTTTCCCACACCCCTCCACCAAATACATCACGTAACTTAACATCCCTCAACAAATCTCTGAGAGGTGCAGACACATGCCCAGCCTCTTTGGGTTCGACGTCAGCCGCCCTGATGACACAGTTCAAGTCAACCCCCACTATCGCCACTTCCGGAAGTGCACGCAAAAAATAAACAAGGTCCTCACACACAAAATCCTTTCGTACCTTCGTGCTATTCTCCGCAGGGGCGTACACAGTTACTAAAGATACACGCTTTCCCATCCAAGTTCCATCCACTCTCAGCACCCTCCCCCCACCCCCTGAAGAAATTTAAGGAAAGGCAGATGGTGACTACCATAGCGCATCTAGTGGTCGAATCGAGGGGGAATAGTTATGTGGAAGGACAAGGCCTTTCCATTACAGACAGCATCAGTTAGAATTATCCCTGAACAAGTAAATTATCGTCATTGAGAAAATTCAACAAATAATTTTTTTCGGAATTACGCTAAAATCAACCCCAATCGTGATTTACATTAAGTTAATTTCAGTAAAAACAGTTTAGTGTTACCGCGTCTTTGTCAGTTTTCAGGTTACTGTTTCAGAAAGTTTCACCTCATTCTGTGGGAAAGAATTTACGTTCTTCCCACAGACGTCAGTTGCCACACACCACAATGAGTACATTTTCACCACCATTACACGATAAGACGGTTTGTCTAATGACTCCTAAGGATATTAAATAATACACATCTGGCATAAAATTAGTTACTTTACAATATATATCAAACATTAAGCACTATCGCCACTATCAGCTTAATTAAGCTTAATAGTGACTCCCGACAACACGTCCACCGCCATCGATTCCACTCAAGAGAACCCTGCCGCTCAGACCAGTCAAGCCGGTGTTACGATAGAGGGTGATGGCTGGGTGTATATGCTTGTCCTGACGTGGATATTCCTGTAAAAGTAACTGCAAACCATTGTCTGTGGCAGGTGGGACGCTGTCGTATCAAAGCTACTGGAAGGCCTAGCTAGAAATTCTCCATGGCTTTGTCCACTGAGAGAAGACCTGTTGCTTATGTAACACGTGTGGAGACCTTCAGCGCTTGCCACAGGCTCCACAGGTAAGACATACGTAGTGTGAATATATGTGATGCATGTAGAGATCTTTATTGCTTGTCTCGGGCTCCATAGACAAGACAAGTGAGGGATCTGACATGTGGTGAGCCTGTAGTGCTTTCCAGATTCTCAGAGTGAGAAAAACATGTGTATTACTGATTAGCAACAATACTGACGAGACTTTTGTCCTGCTTAGAATTCTTCTCGAGTCGAAATACATAAACAGTGCATTAGATGATGTAGATATGTCGTGATAATTACCTCGGCTGGCCCTGCCTGTACCAGGCCCACAGTTCAATCCTTCCGTCCCTATTTATGCTTATTCATTTACAATATAGGATATGAACTTAGAGTTCATATCCTATATGGCTATGAAGGAGCTGAGGATGGATTCACTATGAAAGCTGCGGGCAGCGTCGGGAAAGTCAGTTTGTGTTAGATGGTGCCGCTGATGAAGAGTAAAATAAAAATTATGCTTCCGAGTCCTTCCTATTAAGTCCCCTAGCACGGGACTTGTATATATATTAGTAATTCAGAGGTGGGATGGAAATTGATTATTTTATCATATTACATTCTGCAACGTTATGTAAACCGCGGGGGTCCCCTCCTCCAACCCTTCCCCATGTGTGTGGGGGATTTTAAGTGGACAGGATGTGTGGATAGTTGGACGGCAAATTTTCATTTCTGAGGAGAAACACGCCGGCGTCAACACGCTACATTACCTCTGAGAATACTTCCTCCTAATCTACATGTTACTGCTCTTGAAACATTACATTGCATGTGACTTGTATTGCACTAAGATCGCCTGTCTGCGATTATGTTGTGTGCTTGCCTAATTGTAGTTGCAGGGGTCGAGAGACTGCTCTTGGCCTCGCCTCTTCACTGAACGCTACTAGGTCCTCTTTCTCTCTCCCTGTTCCATGAGCTTTATCATACCTCGTCTTAATGCTATGTATGGTTCCTGCTTCCACTACATCACTCGCCAGATTGTTCCACTTCCTGACCACTCTATGACTGAAGAAATACTTCCTAACATCCCTGTGATTCCTCTGAGTCCTCAACTTCCAAGAGTGACCCCTTGTTTCTGTGTCCATTCTCTGCAACATCCTGTGTCTGTCCACCTTGTCTATTCCCCGCAGTAGTGTGTGTGTGTGTGTGTGTGTGTGTGTGTGTGTGTGTGTGTGTGTGTGTGTGTTTGTTTTTATATTTATTCCGAGCTTTGTGCATTCACTGGGAGTTATTTTCTGGGTACAAATTTGTGAACAATCCATCCAGGGTTTGGTGGTATAAGTGAATTATCTTTCGCCTTTGTTCCAGAGTGCAATTTTCTCTGCCTTAAATACTGTACAGCAATATTCTGTCCTTTTGTGAACGTAAGCTAACAAGGGCCATCCTTAGCTTAGCATCCCTTATTATGAAAGTTCTCATTATCCCTCCTATCATTTTCACGTTTGTGACTGACTTTAAGGATAAAGTGAAAACCCCTGACATCACTCAAAAGTCCTTCACGTTAGCTTATTGTTTTAGTGACTTGTTAATTAGTTTTGCACTCCGATTTTCATTTTATTTCCTTAGTTTTTTCTATAACGGAGTAAATGAAATTTGACCTCATTAAACATCGAATTGTTTTCTGCGGCTTGACTGTCAGCAGTAAATTCTCGGCATTCCGTTGCTGGTATTGTTCTAGTCAGTGTTGGCAGCACTTTTAATGCAAGTGTCGGCACTAGTGTTGTCAGTCTACTAAATACTGCTACACACTATTGTCTGTTCCGTGATCACTACTGCATAGAGAGATCTGTGTGTGTGTCTCTGTCTCTGTCTGTCTGTCTCTGTCTGTCTGTCTCTGTCCTTGGGTTTAAACTGGTTGGACCGCAGTAGCCAACCACTCAACACGGTTAACTTGTGTAATACGAGTAGCATAGGAAGGCATCAAAATTTTTTCACCAAACATGATTATAACTTGGAAATATAAACACATATGCAGTATAATGTGATCCTTTATTGACAACGTTTCACCCACACAGTGGGTGTATTTGATACCATTTATTTCCATGATTATCTAGGAACATGTACATGCCGTAATTTTTAAGGTGAATCTCTTGGTGTTCAGTACACTCATTTTGTCACACTGAAACATAATTACTTCACATGCTTACTTAGTAAAGCTATTTTCATATTTGTATTACATAGTATATAAAAATCTACCAACAGTAAGCAACTTGAGGACGATGAGAACCAGAGGATCTATGGCAAGTGCAACAACCCCAATGGTCATGGACACAACTACAAAGGTTAGTCCACCATCGCCTTACTTTTTCCAGTATAAACACTGCGTGATACTTTCGTTACGTATAACTAGAATATCTCTTGTGATAAGGCTAAATTTTGTCATACAGAAGATAAAATCCATAATTGTACATGAATGTTCATTATTATTCATACAATCTCAAGCGATAAGGCCCACAATAACCGCAGGGGGAGTCGAATGATACCACCAGGCCTTTCGTGTTGCAATCAACACTGCAGTGTTGCAGAAATGAGTAGAAAGTTCAGGCAAACTCGTTTAGGGTAATTTCTGTATCCAGAATAACGGAGGTAAGCGCTAAACCAAATTCCAGATGCTAGATATTGCAAGCTGTATGTTGAAAGGGTAGAAACACAGCCTAGTCCATAAACAATGATTATATACTAATGACCTATTGACCATAACGTTAGTAACGTGTTAATTATCACAAATATGCCAATAGACTTAATGTTATCCCATGACTTTAAAATCTTTTTTTTTTTCCTATTCTAACTGCTATAGGAAATTTCCAACCATCATATTAAAAGTAATTAATCTAGGTCTGACTCGCTTGAACAAGAGTTAGACATAACTAGTTTATCTATTGTATCTATCAAACAGTGAGGTTAACCCAAGCCTAACTCTTTAGCAGACGTTGGTAAAATACAAAGGAGGGGGGAGGGGCATGAAAGCAGACACTTAAGTACATCTTTGTTAGTGTAGACTTAAGATATTGAAGACAGCCCAAAGTCTTTTGATAGATACTCGTCTTAGGGTTATATATAATATCAGTTTAAAAGTAAAGTTTGAACAATCCGAAGTTATTATGAAGTGAACCTTTGCTATTTAATTGCCGCTTCTAACATTTCTTTCCAGCCAAGGGGAACAAGGAACCAGGTCTCTGGCTTCCAACTATTTTGCAGGGTTATTGCACACCCTAGTGTGGTTAAATATAGCATTACATTCTTCAGCTGTTCGCATTAAATAAGCGTTGTGTTAACCTAACATCTAGAGGTTTACTAATCTGTGCCACATAAGTTGTAGCTATTACAACTAATCCAGTAAATACAGCCGATAGTGTTGAGGGGAATTCTTTATCAAAATGCTTTGAACTGTCCATGAATTCTTAAACTATTTGTATATTACATTCTCATTGAATAGTGGAAAAAGCACTTTCTTAATCTGAGGTTATCCCAGGTTCAGTCCTATAAGTTTTCTTCTAGCTGCCAGTAAAGTAGTTTCTAGAAAGTCCTTAGGGGTACTAAAGTTTCGTAAGTGTCGGATTTCCTTAAACTCCGGATGAACCCGCTATAGGCTCTCGGAAACTGCAGTAACGTCGGTGTATACTAATGAGTTAGCGTCGCTGGCTGCTTTTCAAGGATATTTACTAGTTAGCCAATATTTACAAAGGATAAAAAAAAATACTTCTCAGTTTACTTAACACTGCAACCAGTTTTTCCTCCTTCGTTATTAGTTTTGTTGAACACTCACTCACCCGTTCTCTCTGTCCCACACGATCTGCCAATATCCCACAGTGGATCCCACTTCGAACCTTTCCCCAGTACACTGACTACAGAACCAGTAGCAACAGCATCGATGTGGGTAAAAGCAACTTGTCTGCCATTAAAACTGCTGCTGAGTTCCTGAGCAACTTTAATCTTTACTGCATGATTTCAAATTAAACAGGAATTGGAGACAAGTATGGCAGCAGTCTGTTAGAACTGCCAGGTAACTATCATTTCATACTATATTAACAGACTGTTCTGTCTTACCAGAGCACAAAGAACTTACCAGCTACGTCTTTAATAACCTGAGGTGCTCACTCGGCTGCCCTTGTGGTGATTCTTGCACCTTCACTGCAGTCTCCTACCATAACTAAAATATTCATTTATTGCACATGTCATTTTTACACCCCCATTGTTACAAAAAACGCGATTCTAAAAGCTTAGAGATCTCCAGTGAATACTAGAAAGGACTGCCCTTCTAGCATCCAGCCTGTTACTGGGTTTTCGTAACAAGTAGTCAGTATCCTTGTCCAATTATCCATTAGAATTCAATAAGAATTATTAGTGCTTCAGTCAGTCAGTTTTCAGGTTACTGTTTCAGAAAGTTTCACCTCATTCTGTGGGAAAGAATTTACGTTCTTCCCACAGACGTCAGTTGCCACACACCACAATGAGTACATTTTCACCACCATTACACGATAAGACGGTTTGTCTAATGACTCCTAAGGATATTAAATAATACACATCTGGCATAAAATTAGTTACTTTACAATATATATCAAACATTAAGCACTATCGCCACTATCAGCTTAATTAAGCTTAATAGTGACTCCCGACAACACGTCCACCGCCATCGATTCCACTCAAGAGAACCCTGCCGCTCAGACCAGTCAAGCCGGTGTTACGATAGAGGGTGATGGCTGGGTGTATATGCTTGTCCTGACGTGGATATTCCTGTAAAAGTAACTGCAAACCATTGTCTGTGGCAGGTGGGACGCTGTCGTATCAAAGCTACTGGAAGGCCTAGCTAGAAATTCAGTATTATTCAATAGTGCTTCAGGATTACAACTGGTAGGCTATTAACTAGAGAAATTAAAATTTAATAAATTTATTAAGTCTAGAGGTAAATTATCAAAGTAAATTAAATCAATCACAGTAATGAAAATAATACCAATCTCTCGAGTTCAATATTATTGTGCTGAAAGCACATATCACATTTATAATTCTTAAGTACCATCTGGTACATTAACATTTAATAAGATATTACAAATATGTACAAGTAAGTGTGTATGTGTGTAAGTGCTCTTAAGTAGTTCGCTATGTCTCAAGACTCGACTAAACTTAAACAAGTGACTGACAAAGTCCTCAAATAAACTAACTTCTTGACCGACTGGCAACCAGAACAGTCTGCTTGAACAATGAAAAGAATGCTAAGCCCAATAGCCATATAACAAGCGACTGCAACACAATCAGGATCAAGGAGATAATATAACGACACTAAGTAGGGACCATCAGCAGATCCTCAACAAAAGTTACAAAACTCCCATACTACTGAATCTAAGTTCAGCATAGGAAAAACCCGACTGTGACAATACACAGAAACCAGTACAAAATTAGGTCAGAAGCTATAGCTAAGGACCTGAGATGCTCAGAGTGTCTGTGACACACAACCTCAGTACAACGTCGAAAATCACTAAGTCCATACAATGTTCTGTGAACAGAGTTCTACAGAACTAACAAGAATAATGAGACAGACAATCTGTCCAACCACCAAGCGAGTCTCGAGCAGACTGAATACTTCACGAGAGGTGAGGACACCCCCCCCTCGATCACGTGATAGCTCTGTGGCCAGCACAGCTCAGAAGCCGGCAGTATAACGAGCGACAAGCGATAATTACAGTAGTTTGACAATCAAGACTTGAACTGAGCACATATTATGTACATCCTAACAACATAAGTCAAATAAGAATATAAAGCAATATATTTACGATTTAGCTATTATCGCAAATATAAGCAATATAAAATTATATGAAAAGATAATATACATTATATATATACATAATAATCATTGTAACCCATTCAGGGGTTGCAACACCCATTAACCCCAATTACTATTTATTCATCTCTCAGCCATTGAGGAGAGAGGACTGTGTTATACACTGCTGCCCTCTATAGCTGTTCGGTGGCAGTTCCATTTTCTCAACATGGCGCAGGCAGGCAGATGCCACGTCAACACTGTGTGTTTGGAATTAACTCGTGGGGCAGTACTTGGACCATCAACGGCGATATTATTGCCAGCGATAATCCGAGACACCTATGGTATCGCCAACGAGGATTTGTGCAGTGTAGCGATGAATGGTGTGACAAGAATCTTCGTAAAGTTTTGCTTGACTCAAGTTTACGAGACGGTCGTTGACAAGTATCAGGAGGTTAATATAGTGGTTAACCAGGCAGTGTCTGTGAGGCTACACGATGTATCCCGCCATTATACATGGGTAAAAGTAAGAAACGTACCCTTTGAGGCTGATGTGACTGACATACGTGCTGCCCTGGGTAATTACCGCACCATACACATGGCTACAGCAGGCAGGTGGTCTAATGGCCCATATGAAGGAATACCTGAGGGAATTTTTTCGGTAAAAATGACATTAAGACATCCAATCCCTTCATATGTGATCCTGCAAGACTTCAGGACTCAGGTATTTGTGACTTATGCAGGGCAACGCCGCACTTGTAGGTTGTGTGAAGCATACGATCATTTGGTGGTGCAGTGTGAAAGAAGACGAGGTGCCAGGGTTGTACAACAGAGCAGGGATCTAGGGGAGGAAGGTGTAAGGCAAGATGTGCCTGAAGCGCCTGTGCAACCCTTAGGATTGACTTGGAGCGAAGAGGTTGAGAGGTCCATGGACAAGGTGTGTGCTACACTCCCAGAGGTGTCGCCTCCTTTGGAGGCGGACCCAGAGGTGGGATCGGCCTCGCGAGAAGAGCAGGCCATTGATGTGGAGAAATCCATTGTCTCTGTGTTAGACGAATTGTTTACGGAGGACAGCATGAGTTCTGTGAAGGCATCATCCCTAGACTTGGGACAGGCTGCCACTGTGGGCGTGGACCACGACGTGCAGCTGGAAGTGGTCGCCACTGATGCCTTGCTGAAACAAACGGTGGAGGTGAAAATCCACCAAGATTGTACTGCGGACGACGAAATGCAGGTGGAAGGTGTAGCGCTCTGTTACACTTTCAGATTCGGATGATGTGTTAACACCAGCCCAAAGATCAGGGAAGAAGTCATGGGCGGATGTGGCACAGAGAGGGTCCTGTGCACCCAAAGCTCAGGGGTTGATCAGGAGTGCTTCAAAAGGGGGGGAAGGGAAAACTGGAAACAAAAAATCTAGTGAAAAACATTGTGTCGAAAGGAAAACCCCCATTGTCGATTTTAAGTGCCTCACAATAAATATTAATGGTTTGCGAACTGTACGAAAGCGTGCATGGTTACGTGATTTATTGGTGCATAATAATGTGGACGTTGTGTTCGTACAGGAACACAATCATAAATGTGGTAGTGAATTGCAGATGGATGGATATACGTGTACATAGAGAATGCAATCGCTGAAAGGTGGCGTAGCCATCATGATCAGGGAGACTAGCCCATTTGTTTGTGAGACGTAGTGAAGGGGGGGGAAGGAGGATAATAAGGTAGAAGGACTATGGGACGGGTGAAGGTGGCATTTGTGTGTGTGTATGGTCCAGCGAGAATGATGGGCGTGTAAAAGCTACCTTTGTGAAGAGGTGTTAATTTATTATTTGAGGTCACTCCCTGAAGTAGCTATTGTAGGCGGGGATTGGAATTGTGTGATCCGGCATAAGGATGTAGAGCCTCGGGGAAGTGGGTACTTTTCAGGGGTATTGGGAGATTTAATGTCAGGGGTGGGATTAATGGATGTGGTGGGGGGAGAGGTTGAGCATACCTTTGTACGTCGAGGATATGCAGCGCGACTTGATAGAGTATACGTGCCGCGCAACATCATAGTTAATAGTGTGCATATCATAGATGTGGTGTTTTCTGATCATAGAGGGGTTCTCGTGGATGCAGGGTGGGAAGGTTTACCTAAGAGGGGTCGTAGTTATTGGAAATTGAATGTTAAATTGTTAAAATGGGAGGAGAATAGAAAATCTTTTGAGTCTTTTTGGGAGGGTTTGATAGCGGGGGCTCCTGGAGATGGTGAATTGGTTAGGTGGTGGGATGTGGTGGCTAAGAAACGTATTCAGGATTATTATGTTCGGTTGGGGCGGGAAAGTAATCGACTGTTGTATGGGCTTCAGGGAATTTTGAACAGTTATGCCATTGTTATGTAGGTGATGGTGCGAGATACCCTGTGGATGAAATAGAGGATTTAAAGCAATGTATAAAGGGTTTGCATAATGATCGATTTGATGGTGCACGTGTGGCTGGAGGTTTGGAGGAGGTTCTCTACGGGAATCGGCCTTCGGCGTGTGCGTTAAGGGGCCAGCAGCAGAGGAGGGCAGCCACGGAGATGATGGGGTTAACAGTGCATAAAGGGGGAGAAGGTTATCTTGAAGGTCAAGTGTTGGTGACGACGGAGGGCACGAGCGGGTATATAGATGCTTGGTTTAGGTATTACATGTCTAGTGTTGGGATAAGCAATATGGCAATACGGGAATTCAGTAACAATATGCAGTGTCGGCTTAGTACGCAAGATAGAGAAGCATTGGAAGGGCCTATTACAGTGTGAGATAAGGCAGGCTCTGGCAGGGGCGAGCTTAGGTAAAGCTCCTGGTATTGATGTGATGAATTGGGATGTGATAAAGGGGTTTCTAGTTCGTTTATTTAACATCTTAAAGACTGACAGGGTTATGGGAGAATTGCAACGGACGGCAGTGGTGGTTTTGGTGCCAAAAGGGAATCCATCAACGATTATGGACTAGAGGGCCATTTCGCTTATGTGTGGAGATTATAAGTTGTTTGCGAGGTTACTGGGGAATAGACTGAAAAAGGTACTAGAAAAAGTTATAGATAGGGGACAATATGGGATACCAGGCAGGTCCATGTTCAATGGGCATGGGATGATTCAAGGATTCATAGAAAGGACAGTTGGTGGGAGGGGGGGGGGATCTTCGCTTTAGATTAGGACACTGCATATGATAGCGTTGAAAGAAGTGCATTATGGCAGTTCATGCGTTGGCAGGGTTTTGGGGATGAAATCATCACTTGGGCTCAGACCTTATATAAGGGGGCGATTACGCATGTACAGGTCAATGGTCGGTTAGGTGTTCCGGTTCAGATGGGCAGGGGCTTAAGGCAAGGCTGTCCCATATCACAATTATTGTTTGCGTGTTTTCAGGATCCTTTCTATAGGGCAGTGCAGGCTAGTATTTTGGGGGGTTGGGGGGTTATGAGAGAGATGGGTGGACGGGTATTGTGGGTTATGTTGATGATACTACAGTCTTGGTAGGAGATGATGTTGATTTATTGCAGGTGGAGAGAATCGTAAATATTTTTGGTGAAGCAACTGGAATGAGAATTAATGCTAAGAAGACTAAGCTCATGGCGGTCGGAAATTGGGATCAAATGGATGGGAGTATGAGGGGTAGATGGGATGTGGTCGACCAACTTAAAATATGCGGGATTGTGTATGCTCGTGAGCCAATGATGGCACCGAGTGAGGTGAACTCAGTGCGGGTTGTAGATAGTGTATTAAAACGAATTGGAAGTTTGAGGTCTGCACATCTCGCATTGCACCAACGGGTAATCGTGACAAACGTGCTTTTATATAGTAAAATATGGCATGTGGTGGCAATGTATCCATTATTGAGTCGAGAGGTTACGAAATTGTTGCGTGGGGTATTTCGTTTTATTTGGGGATCAGGCTGTGAATGGTTCAGCAGAGGGGTAAGCACTCTGCCGATTGGCCATGGTGGGCTGGGACTCATACCGCTGGAACGAAGAATTATGAGTATTTATGTGAAACGGAGTTTTCTACGAGAGGGTGGGGAAAATGGGAGAAGGATTGAGAAAGTGTATGAGGACATAAAGCGGTGGTGGACTGTGAAGGAATTAAGAGTAGGGGAGGCGATGCTGCGAATTTTGATGGTGGCGAGAAATCCAAATAGAATTAAGCTGCGTGTCATCGAGAGAGTGGGGGGGGGGGTTGGAGGTAGCGGCCGTGGAAGGAGCATACCCGATGTATGCCTGGTGCGACATATGGGAACGTCTCCGGAAGTTGCGCATCATGCCGGGGGTACGCGAGGTAATGTATAGATTTTTACAAGGGGTTTTTGCCGTCAGGGACTGTCTTATACAATCGCAAGCTCAGGGAAGGAGGGGAATGTCGAGCGTGTGGTGATTTGGAATCCATTTTTCATGTAGTGTATTTTTGTGAAAGCATAGGGAGGGTCAGGGAATGGTTAGGGCGGGTTATTCGTTTTATGGGAGCTGGGGGGAAGGGTTGCAGGTGTTGAGAGTGTTAAGTTTGGACATTAATGGGGTGGGTACGCAGGTTAAAAATACGGTGGCATACATAGTGACTGATTTTGTGCACACTTCATGGGCAATGAGAGAAGTAGGTGGGAGTGAAAGGATTAAAGTGTTAGCAGCTACTTTTTATAGAATTAAATGTCGCAATAAGGAAGTACGTATATGGAAGGGGATGGAACACGGAGTTTACGGAGAGTTACCGGGAATTTCAACTGCGTGACTTATGGAATCTGTAGGTTAATGGGATACAATGGGCTCGCCTCCCTCCCAGTGGTGTGTGGTGGTGATTGGGTAAGTAAATGTGAATTTACATGAATATGGGATGGTATGAAGGAAAGTGTGAGGGTGAAGAATATTTTCAAGGCTCAAAATCATCATTGTATTAATTTAAAGTGTTTTTACCCTGGTATAATAGGGTTAATGATGAATACAAACATTGACATCATATGCAGGTGTGTGAGTGTAAGTAATACTTTGAATTGTTAAATGGGAATATACTTTCATTAGCGCCAAGTATTACACTTGTGTGTGAGGGCAGGTATGATCAGACCCAGGAAAGGGTGCCCGGGATACGGTGTATTAGCCATATAATCCTTACAAAGTGCATCATTGGATTTGTATTTCCCAAATGTCTGAGTTGACAGTAGCTTATCATATATGCAAGTGTAGTACCTGCTAAGAAAAATGTTGAAGATGTATTTGTAGTTTCATATTAGGTATTGTGGGGTAATGTTTCTAAAGTGGTTTTCTAATTTCATATGTAAACGAGTGCCAATTGGGGATGGACGATATAAGACGGAGCACATTTAAAACCCCATGGGGTGTTAGAGTAGCGCAGAACTGTCTGGATGTTACAAATCAAAGCTTAGATTGAAAGCTTAGTTATCAGCATGAGTTGTGAATGGAGATGAGTTGGATATAAAGGTAAATGAGTACATACACTATTAATCTTATGTGTATGCATACTTAAGTATATGTATAATATATCAGTGAAAAATCATTGTGAGGCGCGTATTGCGCACGAATTATAGGACGAAAAGGGGTTTTTCGCTTAAGCAGGCAGGAGTGCAGTTGTACCGAGTGGTACTGAAAACATAACCTGAAAAGTGAGTCACTAATGCATATGGTAGGTCTAGGGTTTTTGCAAAGTATAATAATGTATATGGGTATGAATTTTGTAGATAAATGGAAATTTTAGTGTTCCATTATATAACTTAGGGATAAAAAGGGAAAAATTTTAAATACACAGGGGAACAAAAGTTTGTTTGTAAAACGATTCCCCATTTTTTTTTTACCCAAAAAAAATTATAAATTTTTATAAAACAAATTCCCATATTCCTTTTTTTTTTTTTTTTTTTAAAGGGTTAATGTTTTAAATAATATAAAAATAAAAATCTTCTCGTTTTCTTTTTAAAAAAAAATTTCATCTTTTTACTTTATTACATAAACAATTTCTTTTTTTTAAAAAATTAAAGGTTTTGCAACTTTTTATTAAAAATTAGAAGCAAGTCTTCATCAGTTTTTACTGTTTGTATCTCGCACTAAATAGATTCCCTTGAATAAAAACCTTAAATAAAAATTCCGTTGTCAGGTTTCTAATAATTTATACCTTTTTATACATTTTGTCTACATTTACGCAGCCATTTTATAAAAAAAATTCCTGGATAATTCTTTCTTTTAATTTCAGTGATTATTTTCCCTCCAGAAGAATTTCATAACTAGTTTTCTTTCAGCTTTCTGGAAGTTACCATATAATCTCCAACTTTCTTTCTTCCTTTGATATATTTTATTTACCTGGTATGTTCTTAAGTTTTCTGTTTGTCACCTATGTCATTACTGTTTTTTCACTAATTAACCAGAATGTGTTCATCGTAACAGCCTCTTCCTTTTCAAGGTGTTTGGAGCCATCGTTGACTTGTAATGATTAATCTGTTATTACAGTGGAGGTGACAGTTCGTGGCGCTATAGACGCTGTAACAGGGATGGTCATGAATGTTACTGACCTGAAGACTATCATCAACAAGGTTGTAATGGATGTGATGGACCACAAGCATCTCGACCATGATGTTCCAGCCTTCAGGTACTCTAATCAATATGTACAAAGGAAACATTTTGGCTCCATTTAGGATATTAACGAATATAAAGATATTGTAGATGTCTTGGCAATATTTACATTTGTATAAATAACTATAGATGTAATTCCTCATTTAAAATGCACTTGCTCTGTCAACAAAATGAATTAATCTTAATTTTGTGCAAATTTTGTTTGTCAGTAAGGCAATTTCAGTAGTGTTCTTAGAAGTAGAGCGGTGGGATGTACATTCTTTCTAAAGTATTTTTTTTTTTTTGGAGGGGGACTTTAAGTTATCTCTCCTTGACTTGTTTTCTGTTAACCAATTGTCAGACCTTTATTTCTTTCGTGATATTGTCATATTGAAAGAACGCGTTTCACTAGTGTCATGTGCAGAGATTAATCAATGCGAGAGCATGTTGAGAGTAATTCACACTATTGCTAAGCTGGGAGTTTAACCCTTACTAGTGTCATGTTCAAAGATTTAGAACTATTAGTATCATGTTTAGTGACTTAGCAGAAGTAGTGTAATGTATTCGCTGCTTGGCAGCCACACTGTCAGCACCTCTGCCTGTTGGGAAGTGGTATATTGTCATCGTGGAATGGTTCATCCCACAATGGAAGGTAGTTACACAAGAATAGCTCACTGTCGAATGAAACGAATAACTCACGAAATCGTGCTGACACTATTGCAAACAAACCCTACCGCTTGCATTTGTGGTCACGGTGGTGCCTATGCTAACCTTCCTATGGTATAGAAATATACAAAGTTGGATGAATTTTATTGAAGTTAGCTGGCCCAGTGGCTAACGCGATGGTCCGGAGTTTTGAGACTCGCACCTCGAGTTTAAACCCCACCCGTGGTATAGTTTGGAAGCGAATGAATGTATTCACGATATTGAACTGTCAGAGTTCGAGTTCTGAAACTGAACACCGAAGAAGAGCACAGTCGGAAATTCTTTCGAAACGTAGATTTGTATAAGGATGTATGTAATGCCTACACAAGTTTACATACGAAGAATACCATTTGAATACCAGGAAACGGGTGGGGTTTGATTCCATGGCAAGAGTCTTAAAACTCGCAGGCGAGTACGTTAACCACTTGGCCAACTGGCTTTAAGATTTATCCAGCTCGGTTTTTTTTTTCACACACCACAGTGTGGTTAGCATTAGCACCACTGTTATCACAAATGCAAGTTTTTAAAAACACTTGGGAAATACAGTGAAATTGAGAATGACAGAAACAACGATGAAAGGAACTGTTAGATAGAACAGGTGTGAGTAAAATAGTGAAAACCAGAGTAACTCGTACATAGTTTGGAATATATTAGAGATTTGAAACTTAAATTAATGCAGGATTAACTATGATTCAGAGAGCAGTAGTTGTCAATTATTGTACTACAAACCACGATAAGTTTCTAAAGTGTATCCATTGTTGGATGTCATCTACCTGGAGGGTACTCCAAGGGTCAGCGCCCCTGCGGCCCAGTCTTTGACCAGGTGTCCCTATGGATCAGGGCACTGTCAGCCAAGCTGTTACTGTTGGTAGCACGTAGTCTAACATATGAAACACAGCCCGGCCGATTCTGCACTGACTTGAGGTATCTGTCCAGCTCCCTCTTGAAGACAACCAGGGGTCTTAGTAATTCCCCTTATGCCTGGTGGGAGGCTGTTGAATAGTCTTGGACCCCGGACACTTATTGTTGCACCATCTGCCCAGTCTTTTGCTTACGTAGGGAGTGATTTGTGTGTGCAGATTTGGGACCAGTCTCTCTAGGCTTGGTTCTTAAACAACTATACTATTTATGTATTGTCGGTACTTCTACCAACAGCATTCATAAATGTTCGTTTTACTTTTCACTCGTCGATTCAATTAGTTACCACCATTTTTGCGCTAGATTGCAGGCTGAATTACACGTACGTGTTTATTTAAATATAAAATACTAAAATGATTTTGGGAAAGCCTTCATTAATAAACCCTTATAATATGAACCTTCTTCAGTCTGTTTTAAAAGTACAAGAAGCTCTATCGCTAGCGCACTCGGTTCACACACTGAAGTCCAGGGTTCGAATCTACTCCGGTACGGCTGGAAAGCATTAGGTACGTGTTTCCATAAGCCACCTGCTGTCCCTGTCCCTGTTCACCCATCAGTTTAAAATGGGTACCTGGGTGTTAGTCGACTGGTGTGGGTCGCATCCTGGGACAAAATTGACCTAATTTGCCCGAAATGCTCAGCATAACAAGTGGCTTTCTATATAGTAATATGTCATTGATGTCAGCTAGATCTGTGTACCTTGTACGTGTACTTGTAGTAAATAAAATATGTGCGCGAGCCTCGTAACTACTGTATCGCTTTGACCAGGACGCCCCTCTAGGGAGGTTCCTTGACGCTGGTGAGGGGCTCTTGATCTAGGGAATTGGATCTGTGCTCCAGTTCCCTGAATTGAGCCTGAATGCCTTCTATCCCCCCCCAACACAGGCGCTGTGCAATCCTATGGGTTTAGCTCTCCCCCCATGATCACTATAATTTGACCAGGACTAACCAGACCACGACGAAAAAAGTTATAACCCCTGATATACAGTGTAACACAGTATATACTATAATCTAAATATTTTACTTTTTTTTACTGCCTCTTGTTTTTTTTTTAGGGATTCCAGTTTGGTGAGCACAACGGAAAATGTAGCTGTGGTAATATTTAATGGAATTAAGGACCATTTGCCTCAACATGTGACTTTGTATGAAATCAAAATCCACGAGACTGAGAAAAACATCGTAGTCTTCAGGGGAGAATATGAATAAACACTCAGGAGAATGTTTAAGTGATTTTGTGAATACTATTTGAAATTATTTTACAGAAATAATTAGGTCAGTTCCAATTATTAATACACAAATAACCCGCACATAAAAGAGAGAAGCTTACGACGACGTTTCGGTCCGACTTGGACCATTGACTTCGTCGTAAGCTTCTCTCTTTTATGTGCGGGTTATTTGTGTATCGTTCCAGTCACGGTATTGTGCCTTTTTTGCCAATTATTAATCTCGTGCACTGTTTTTATTCCAGACTTTCTGCCCACCTATGACTTTAACAGTATTAACTTTATAAAGTTCCTAGTGGATAGAACGTCCTTGAAATAAATATACCCAACTGTTGCATATGTTTTTCTAATACTGTGCTGTATAACCCTTCTGGTTTAGCGCTTCTTTTTTTTTATTATAATGATTTCTAATACTATTTCTATTTAATCTAATTCCTCTACTGTTTCTTCTAGTTCATCTCCATTCTTTTCCTTTAATTCTTTTACTCTTATTTCTACTCCTACCATTACATATTCCATTATTTCTAAAACTAATAGTATTATTATAATCATTAGTATCAACATAACAGTAACATCAACACACAGAATAACGACGTCGACTTCCTTCTCTTTCCTCCCAATTCAGTCATTCTGCTCACTTGGTCCAGGAAGAACCTTTCTTCTCGAGTGGATTTCTTGTGACTTGTTCCAACAAATAACAAGACACTCGCGTTAAATTCTAAAGTTCGTTTGCTTATGTAAATAATTTTCAGTGCTAAAGAGAATTACTTATTGCAGCACAATTGTGTAATAAAAGAATATAAAATATGGTCATATAGCTAGAGTTATCATTGATGTTTAATATAAGTAAAGGACTTTTCTTTTTATTTGAGCAGCATGCAGCAACGTGTTTGCTGTATTTTAAATACAACTTTTCAATGAAGTTCTTTAGTCTCTGTATCCTTATAAACACACACACCCACACACAGACGGAAGAGATAGGGGGGATATGATAACGATATATTAAATTGTAGGAGGAATCGACAAGGTTCCAGAGATGGGACACGGTAACAAGGGGTCACAGTTCGAAGTTGAAGACTCGGATGAATCACAGGGACATTAGGCTCTATAGCCCTTGTGGCTTGGCGCTTCTTTTTGATTATAATAATAATAACAACAAGGACATTAGGAAGTATTTCTTCTTCAGAGTTGTCAGGAAGTGGAATAGTTTGGGAAGCGATGTAGCGGAGGTAGGATCCATACATAGCTTTAAGAGGACGTATGATAAAGCGCATGGAGCAGGAAGAGTGACCCCAGTAGTGACCAGTAAAGAGGCGGGGCCAGGAGCTACAAGGTATACAGGTCTAGATGACATCAATGACATATTATATAGAAAGTCCCTTGTTATGCAGAGCATTTCGGGAAATTTAGGCATTTTTCTCCCGGATGCGCCACACAGTCGACTAACACCCAAGTCCCCATTTTATGAAGGGTGAACAGGGAACCGGTGTTTTAAAGGAAACATATCTCTAATGTTTTCACCCGTACCGAAATTCGAACCGGGACCACAGTGGAGAGCTGAGAGCGCTAACGACGACCTACGAGAACCCCCTTGCAGTTGTGTTAACCTTTGTGTAATAAAAGTATGCACATTAGAAAGTTTTAAAAATTTTTAAAAATTAGTGACTTCTTTAAAATACAAAGTTTTGTTGTGTGGGGGTAGGTTAAGAGAAAGGGCATAAAAAAAATTACAAATTTATTGCTAAAGGGAACGGACGTGGTGGGTAGTCCTCACCACAGTATCCTGGTTAATTAAATTCATTCTAGTCGGTGTTTGAGACGCTAAAGTTAGTGATTTCTGTGTGACAGTATTTGATAAAGATCACATCTGACTGTGTTTACAGTTAGGCTTAGTATTTCACTTATCAGATACATGTACAACATAGACATTTTTTTTTGAAAGAGGTATCGCTTGCACTACAAGCTTTATCAGTGTAATATGAAGACAAAAGGAGCTTATATGGCTTAACCAATGGCGAGAAAGTAGTGGCGCGATGAAACAAAAATCTTCACATCAGCGTATATGGGCTTCACTTGTGCGAATTAATCTTGAGTGTTCTTTTTCCATTTATTGATAAACATTATAACATAAAAGTATTGATTTACTTACATGAAATAAAACCTTAAATCATATATATAAAAGGGTTTGGGATGTGAAAAAGTGGTTTTAGTAAGGTATTTGACTGGAAAAAGAGAGAGTGTGGGGGAGGAGATTTTTTGGGAAATGTTGAGTAAAGCGTGGGGAGTTTGAAACCAAGTGTGAGGTAATGAGGGTTTAGGGATTTCAATCCAAAAATGGAAAAAATTTGCGGGGGAATACCTCTTCAAGGGGGGCCCCTTTGGCGGGTGAAGAGGCTCTTGGTTGGGAATTACCCGTCGGTCTTCTTCCTCAGACCAAACCAAATTTCCCCCCCCATTTCCCCTCCCCTCCCCCATCCTCCCCATCTCCCTTTTTCCTTCCTCCCCCTCTCCCCCCCCCCTTTCCCCTTCCCTCTTTTTTGGCCTTCGGGATTTCTCCCACAGGCGCGCATTTCCCTCGGTGGGGGGAAAGGCCCGGGGTCCATCCCTTTCCCTTTGAGGTTTTGGCGGTGGGTATTTTCCCGTGGAATTGGATTGCCGGGGATTTCCCGATCCCTCCCGGGTATCCGGGAGTGTTTGGGTGTTTTTGGGGCGAGGGTTATCTCTGGAAGCCCCCCCTTTCGGTTTCCCGGGGATGGTGGCCAAAGGAGTATGTTTGTGGCGGTTCCGGCCGCCTCTCTTTGCCCACGAGGTTTGCTCGGCAGATGTGAGGTTGCTATCCCGGATTGCGGGTTTACTGGCATGAAGGGTAGGGTATGGCCGGGTTCCATGCTGCATCTGCGCTACTAGCGGTTTTGAGGTCCCTTGGGGGGGGGGAGATTTCTTCCCTTGGGAAACTTTTCCTCCCCGCCCCCCCCTTTTTTTATTTTTTTTTTTCTTTTCTTTTTTTTTTTTTTTCTTAAAAACAAAAAGCAAAGGGAAAACCTAACCTGGACCCCTAGTCATGAAACCATACCCCGGGCCCCTTCTTGATCCGCCCCCCATTCTGACCCTGCCTTGTATTTAGCCACTTTTGGACACCCCTGATGCCCCTGTCCCTCTTGTGGTGCTGTTTTACCCGTTTCAGGTCCCGGGGCTTGACTGACCCTTTGATTTGTTGAACTGTCTCTTTGCTATGTTCCGGCTTCCCCCTTACGGTCGGAAATTTTTTCGAATCGCCCCCCATTTCACGCCGGACCAACTCGGTCCTACCCCTAAACCCCAACGAAATTCCCCTGATATGCCCCCTTTCTTATTTTCCCTTCTACTCGGAAAAGCCGACACGTAAGCATCCCTCTCCAGCTAGTTTTGGACCACACAATGGACTAAATTTTTACTTTAAGCCCACTTCTTTTCTGCCTCCCTTTGCCATAGTATTGGCAAAGCGCCCCGCGTCATGTTGGCAGAGATTTTCTTTCCGCTCTCAAGAGCGGTCGCGCATCACCTGTCCAGATTGTACCAAGCTCAGATCTTTTTTCCCCTTTCGAATATCGATACTTCCTACCTATTGAAAACATTTTTCTTCAATTTCTTGTAGGGGTACTGTCATTCTCCCCCATACTAGCCCAAACAAAAATTTAGTATGGGGCCCCCCCAATGATTTTTTTTGCCCCCGCTGGAACCCCCGGGATCTCCCAACCCCAAATAGACACTTTTCCTTCCTGCCCGGGGCGGGAGTTACCCTTGCAAGTGGCTCGTTTAATTTTTGACACCCGGAAAAACCCCCGTCCTCTGTTAGTCGAGGAATCGGTTAAAATTTCAAAAAGGTGATACCAAACCCCGCAACAAGTAAAAATTTGCTGGGTTTTGGTCCCCCAGGAAATATTGCAGATTTTGGCCAAAAGCCCAGTCTGTGGTCCCGACGACCTTCAAATCATCTTGCAGTAAACCCCCATTTTGCCTTAATTGAATAAAGTCACCTTCGTACTCCCCCCCTTTGCCAGGTTATTTTAATGAACGTGAAACCCGTTGCCTCAAAGAGGGAAAAGGTCCCCTTTTATGCTATGGCAGTTACTCTCTCTGCCTCCAAGGGGACTACCCCCGTTTTTTTTTCTCGTGTTTCCAAACCCCCCCCACTTCTGGGGCCCCCATCTTCTGCAGCCCCTCTGTTGTTCCCCTCCCATAGCCACTAGGGCATTAATCCTTTTTGCTGCCCTTTGGGTTTGACCCCGACTACAATCGGTTGTTCTAATCTTCGCTCCTTTCCCTCACAAGCCCGTATCGAAAGACCTCGTACGACACCTATACAATCGCCCCTCATCAGAAGCCAAAAATCACATTGTCAAATCTTTTTGCCCTTCCCTTTCCTTCTTCCACCTCCACACTTTACCTTTCCGTCTCTGTCCTAGTTCTTACCCTCTTTGGCTCTATTACAAGTGTGGAGTTCCCCCTTCCTCGTACTATGCTTCCACCCCCTTTCCCCTCCAAGTTTCTCCTCTTCTCCACCCCCCCAGGTTTCTGCTCTTCGTCCCCCCCCAACTTCTTTCCCCAACCCCCTTACACTCTTCCCCCCCCCTTACTTTGGTACAGCCATTCTGCCCCCAATCTTTATCACCCCCTCCTTCTATCTCCAATATGGTCTCCCAACATTTTTAAAATTCAGAAACACTTGAAGCCATTTCGAATATATTGCAGAGACAAAAACCTTAATGGACATGATTCCTTCTTTTCCCTTCTTTTCCCCTCCCCCCATCTTAAAAACCCCATTCTTCGCAACGCTCCGTTCCCTTCGCTACTGAACATTTCCAATGCCACCACACGTTGACTTTTAACCCCTCTAGTCCGTGGTCCCCTTTACCTCAGTTTGATTTTTCTTCATCGCCAATATGGCCTGTTTACAGTGGAATATCGCGGCCTCAGGGGAAATGGGGGTGGTGGTTCAGTTTGTTTTCCAGGTTTTCCCTGTTGGTGCTTGCTTAAAAAAACCCCAAAATTACACCCGGTTTTTTTCCAAACCCTATTCAGGTTTAAAAATTTTATTGTATTCTTCGGATCCTTTCTCGATGGGACCTTTAATGAAGTCCCCTTTTCTACGAAATGTTTATTCCGTACTGTAAAATATTTGTCCTACCTCGCGCATTACACTGCGCCCGTACCACTTGAATAAGTGGTTTACAATATGTTCTTTATACCCCCTCTCCTTCTCGAGCTTTTCTTCCGGGACTTTGCCTTTCTTGTTTCTCCTTACCACCCCCATTTGTTACTTGGTGATTTTAATGCCCCCCTTTTCCCTTTGGGGGAGGGTCTCATTGTGACCGCGTGGCATTCATTTGGAGGCTTTTCTCGCCTCTCCCCCCCTCCATGTTTTAAATAGGGGGTACTCCCACCCATTTTGTCCTCGTATCATATTTTTTAGAAATCGATCTTTCAGTTGCTTTCCCTCCCTGCACTAGACTTCCCCTGGTCTTTCTCCCAACTTACATGCGCAATATTTTCCGATCATTTTTTATTTCTCCTTCTTTTCAACCTTTTCCCGTAGCCCTCGCTGGCAATTTGATCGGGCAAATTGGGGATCTTTACTAAACCCCTCATGTTTTTTAGTGAGGTTCCTTCTTCACCCCTCCATTGTGAGCTCCTACAATTTCTCGACGTCAGTTTAACGCAGCTTTCATTCTATACCCCAAACTCAGGCAGGATTTCAGAAGTGCGTCCCTTTTGGGGGTTTCCCCCGTTGTGTGTGCAGTACGTTTAAAAACGTGCTGCATGGGGGGTACTGGTACAATGAACGCTGAGAGATTCTTGTTTTAAGCAAAAAGGTGCTCGCTCCCCCGTGTATCTGTAAAGCTAAACGCACTTTGGCGAGATGTTTCCACCTCCCCTCTGCTT